ATGTTTAAGAAAAAATATGTAAATACAAAGCGAAAGTTTAAAATTAACTAACGCTTCCTTATTTTGCTGGATTTGCCATAAAACTTTCAAATATCGGTACATCTTTTTATGTAACTTAGAATGGCAAACAGGCTGATGGCCCACCTGATGGAAAGTGGTAATCGTCGCCTATAGACATGAGCAGTACCATGGATATAACAGAGTGTACTATTTCGCCCATGCGTTGCCATTCCTAAGGACTCAGGTGTTATTGCTCTGTACCCTGTAAATTCACTGCCATATCCCACCCTTCAAACCGAAACACAGCCATGCATACACAACTGCTTCACGGTTGGGACAGAGGTGTCCAAGCAAAAGACTTTTGTACATAGTCTTCTTCTGGTACATAGATACCATAGCTCTTCCTTCACTTCTGAACATATCTATCTAAGCTACATAATAGTTATAACGTAACACTTATTTGCTCAGGCACATTTTTCTTACAATGAATCAGAGCTACATGGTATTGGTAATTCTTTATTTTCTGTTTATCCACACATTTTAAATCTCCAAGCTATAAAATGATAATAAATAAAAATCGGTGATGGTAAACCGTGGACCGGAAGCCCCAAATATTTCTTGAAACAGGTCAGTAAACTGAGTGATGAAATTGATTTGTTTTATCTAACGCGTTTAAGCATTTTAAAAGGTACTTATTGCATAATATAATATTACAAGTATCTGTACACACTCGATTATTACGACGAGAGTTGAAGATCATAGGAGAAGAAAGCTGTTTTCTGACGTAGCGATTGTAATCTTGGCGCGCTTCCAAAATGGCGCGCAAAAGTTCGCCGAGTGAAATAATTGTGAATCTGTAGTTACGTACCATCCATTAACAGTAGTTAGTAATATTTTTAAATACGAACGCGAACACAGACAGCGATGAACGTAAATCGTAATAATGTTTATTTATTTTAAAGAGATATTCACATTTTGAGTTGCCAGTACTTAACAGTATGTGTTGTATTTGCCTAATTATGTATGTATATGATATAAGACATAGTTAAATAATAAAAATATTATTACATATGAAGGTATTTTGTTAATTTTTTTTTAAGAAAATATTGCTAAACACTCGCCAGGATTGAAATGTAAGGTAATTTATTAGATTCATGTGACCGCGAGTCAAGAATTAAAACATTTACAATTCGTAAAATGAAATTATGATTGCGACGTAGATTAAGGATAGTCCTGCGGTCTCACGGCTATAATCCCTAGTGGGGTAGTCACAGAGAATTGTTAACTGTTGTCATTGTGTTGATACTGTTAACTGTGTGTAACACTTGACATGGGATCTAACAGTTCCATTGCTAGCAATGTACCCTATCAGGTCGCCTCCATGCAGTTCCCCCTGAAAACCATCGTGGTTAATTCTTATGGAATTCTTCACGATGGGCTAACTGACGTGCCCTCACCCTCATCTATCACCTCTCACTGGTGCCCCGCCAGCGTATACCCATAACGCAAGCGGGCTTACCATTCCATTTTCATACATTAAAAAAAAAGTTTCGCTGTAAAGGGATTGTTATATGGCCCAAGTGAGAGGCTAAGCGCGGAAAATGGAGTCCTTTTCACATTCACATACACAAAGGGATTGTTAGTAATGGAGTCAAATAGCCCCATTTTTTTCAATCGATGGTAATGGAATGGTAACCCCGCCTGCGCTATCAGGATACGCTGGCGGGGCACCAGTGAGGGGTGATAGGTGAAGATGAACTAGGTCAGATGACCCATCGTGATGAATTCATAAAAAAATAATCACGATGGTTTCTAGGGGGGACCGCGTGGAAGTCGACCAGTTAGGGTATATTGCTAGTAATAAGCCTGTTGGATCTAATTACTAACAATCCCAGCCCCCCCAAATAGCCCCATTACTAGCAATATGTCAGGTCGACCTCCACGTGGTTCCCCCTGGAAACCATCGAGGCTAATTTTAATTGAATTTGTCAGGATTTACTAACTGACCTGCTTTCATCCTCATCAGTCATCTATCACTGGTGCCCCGCTCGGTGAGAACCTCGTGAAAGCCGAAACTGAGAAAAAGAGAAAATATCTCGACCTGGCTCATTTCAGTCACCTCGTACCTAAATGTGAGGGGTGGCGTGCACTGAAATCATTCCAATCGTTATGTCGGTGAACGGTTTTATCCCAACCAGTCTGGAACAACAACTCAGACGGTTGGGATTCCGAAGCGGCGCACTCCCGGGAAAAATGTAGAAAGCGGTGCTCTTAGATTCTGCCCGCATTGTACGCCGGTTTCTCTCCCTGGGGCCCTGAACCCCGGCCGACTGTGCTTCTGCCGGGGGTTAATTTGCCATCTCCTCTTCTTAAGAGGGGAGATGTGAATTTCCTAAAAATTAAAAAATAATAATATAAAAAAATTGTTTATATATCTATTTATCTATCTATCTATTAATTAATGTATAATTGCCTAAAAATTCTTAGAAAATAAATATTATAATTAATGCACCACCCTGCCAGCCCCACCGCTCCCCGTGTGACCTTTCAAAACCCGGCGTCGCCCACTCGCTAGGATGCAGTCGATCGCACTCGACTCGTGTCGCCAATCTAATCAATTGGAAATATTATCCCTTAGAACACGTGTCCGTAGATTTTTTTTTTATACACCTTAGAGTGGCAATCAAGCTAACGGCCCACCTGATGGAAAGTGGTAACCGTCGCCTATAGACATGAGCGGTACCATGGACATAACAGAGTATACTGTTTCGCCCATGATACCCCCATGCGTTGCCATTCCTGAGGACTCACCCTGTAAATTCACGCTATATCCCACCCTTCAAACTGAAACACAACCATGCAAATACAACTGCTTCACGGTAGAAACAAGAATAGGACAGAGGTACCCAAGCAAACGACTTTTGTACAAAGTTTCCCTCTCATAATTTAACACAAAGTACAGTAAAGGAGATGGATTTCATAATACACAAAAGACATTCGCTACCATGTAACTTCACCTAGATGGTTTATGCGAAACAATACGCACTCTCCGTTTACTGATACTTTTCATTTGGCCCTTTTTCAACACGCCACCTGTTTGGTTGGTATTAGTCCGTCTAGGGCGGCTTCCAATTCTCTCCTCATTCATGCTTTCATTGCATAATCTTTTTCATAATTCTTTTTTAATCATCCTCTCCAAGTCACCAAACCATGATGTTGCATCTCTGTGCATCTTCTACCGAATTTATCATGGGGGGTGCTCTGAGGAATTGTTTAGACTGATTTTCACCACCGTACAACCCGTCACAATCTAAAGTTTCATCCCAACCATGACGACATGGACGAGTGGCGGTCTTCCATCATGCGTTTTTTAAGACACTTTCTTCCACGCATGACCACACTTTCGAATCAAGTTCCAGCAACAGTATTTTCGAACAGATACGACATTATAACCTTCAAGAAAAGAATACATTCCATTTTAAAAGGCCGACAGCACACTTTGTGTCATGGGTGGCAGTAGTTTTTTACCATCAGGTGAGCCGCATGCTCGTTTGCCCCCTGTGTTGTAAAAAAAAAAACTTCTAATCACACTATTTCTCAATCTGTATTTTAATGTGATTGTAGATGGTTTTTTTTATGGATGATAATGGAATGCTAACCCCACCCACACTATCGGTATACACTAGCGGGGCACTAGTGAGAGATGATACGTGAGGATGAAAAGGCAAGTCAGTTAGCCCATCGTGACGAATTCAACAATAAATTAGTCACGATGGTTTCCAAGAGGAACCGCATGGAGGTCGACCTGATATATAGGTATATTGATAGCGATGGGGACTAACCTCCCCATTTCTAACAATCCTTTCCCCCCGATTGTAGGTGGTTGTCTATATTAAACCTTTCGAAGAAATTTTACAAACTGTGAATTTTACACTGCGAGACTGATGCGCTCACGTGTCCTACCGCGTCTGTTCAGTTACAAAATCATACTTTTTAATGCTTCCGACAACTCATTACAGTGTCTCCATTCACTGGCCTTGTAAAATATAAACACTGCTTCCAAAATTATTTTCGTAGCAAGCAGACAAATCGTCGATTAATAAATAGATTAAATTTGTCAAGACCAACGCTCTTTATAATTATTTTTCCCAGTAGCGTCATATCAAATACGAATGAGAGATCAGTGTATTTTTGTTATGGGTGAAAATGGTATGGTAACCCCGCCTGCGCTAACGGGATACGCTGGCGGAGCACCAGTGAAGGGTGATAGATGAGAATGAAAACAAGCCAGTTAGCCCATCATGATGAATTCATCAGAAATTAACCACGATAGTTTCCAGGGAGAACCGCGAGGAGGTCGACCTAGTTGGGTATATTGCTAGCAATGGGATTCTCAGTCTCCATTACTAACAATCCCTTTCCCCCCAGATCAGTGTATTAAATGTCATAAGAATAAATACTATAATACAGTAGAGTGCGTGTTAGCTCAAACAATGTCTTGAAGACAATTGCCGGTAAAATGGACTAAAACGGACTGTCAAGCTGTCGGCCTGTCGTATCTGTTCGGAAATACTGCTGCTGGAAGTTGATTCCAAAGTGTGGTCGTGCGTGGAAGAAAGTGATTTGAAAAACGCACGATGGAACACCGCCACTCGTCCATGTCGTCATGGTTGGGATGAAACTTTGGATTGTGATGGGTTGTACGGTGGTGAAAATCAATCTAAACAATTCCTCAGAGCACCTGTCATGATAAATTCGGTAGAAGATGCATAGAGATGCTGCATCTCTCTGCATCTTCTAGATCAGAGAGATCATTATCTTCAGAGTGATGCGTTGGTTTGGTGACTTGGAGAGGATGGTTAAAGAAGAATTATGAAAAAGATTATGCAATGAAAGCATGAATGAGGAGAGAATTAGAAGCCGTCCTAGACGGACTAATACCAACCAAACAGGTGGCGTGTTGAAAAAGGGCCAAATTAAAAGTATCAGTAACCGGTAGAGATGGGCAATCCACCTGGGTGGGTTTAAAGTCTGGTGGGTAAAAACCGGGTGTTTTGGGTTTATTGGGTTTAAACCCCATAAACACCCAAATTTTTGGGTGTTTATGATTTTGTACTTCATCATCGTCATCTCAGCCGCAAGACGTCCACTATACTGGACATAGACAATATTATTATGCAGCCTACAGAATAAAAAACTTTTAATTTGATTTTGAGTTTATTAAGAAAGAGATGAAAGTAAAATGTAAAACTACAGTCAATCACTGTCAGATTCAGAGTTATTACAAGCGATGAATTGTATAGGTTCGATAGGCTCTATTTCGTCTAAACTGTTATGTTCATTTACTTGCTCAATGAAAGCTTCCAGTTATAACAAATGAATGAAATTTTTTCAGTTCTTTCAGTTGTAAGTCGATTTCTTTTGTTATTATGTATGTAGCCTTGGATACTAAAGGAACGCTCAGTGGCTGCCGAAGTACAGGGAGCTGATAGAATACGAATCGCTACTTTGCTTAACTCAGTGGAACCACAAATACCTTTCCACCATATTAGGGGCTCAATGCTATCTAATGAGCTCCATACAAATCCTCTGGCCCAAAAGTTTTCTTTAGCTTTATAACACGCCAAATCTGCCATTACATTTGACAAACTTAAGTGTTGGCTTAAATTGTAGATAAACTCCATACCCTTAAGTTCTTCCTCTTGAGTAAGTTCGACTCCTAGAGTCCTGGGGTCTAGAATATATGCTGCAAAATGTATTGGCCTCATTGCCATATTGCATCTTGAAGATACTGATGTTAGAATCTGCTGTTTGCTTTCTTCGCTCAATGTCGAAATCTCATTTAATGCAAAACGTATCTTAGCTTGTACATCTCTAAATGTAATGTATGTGCGATGCAAACGATTCTGGTCGCTCTCTAAGTAAAATATGCTTTCAGTGACTGGTTCCAAAATACTTATACATTCCCCTGTCTTCGTCCAGAAATCATCACTTAGAATTAAATCTTTAATATCTCTTGAAATTACCACATCTTCTCTAACTGTTAATATTTGCAAAGCTATCTTATTTGCTTTCAAACTTTTTAACGAAGTAACATGACTTCCCCATCTTGTAGCACAAGGCAATTTTAGTGTTTGTGTAGAATCTTCACCCTGCCTTGATTTTATCAACAAGGAACTTAATCGTTGACTCCTTTTAACAGTTTTTATTATATTTATGGCTTGCATAATAAACACAGTTACTTCTTGTATCTTTACAATATCTTGGCACAACAAGTTAAGGATATGTGCACAGCAACCGAGAGGAACAACATGTGGATATTTGAGTTTTGTTAATTCGAATGCCTTTTGTATATTTCTAGCGTTATCGCCAATAAGTACAAGAAACTTATTTGCTCCATACACTTTCATTACTTTTTCAACTTCTTGGCTAAGGTATTCACTAGTGTGAGGATTACTTTCTGTATTCAAACTTTTAACGTATGCAGGTTGAGGTTTTGATATAAGAAAGTTTATTATTCCTTCATTTCTTAAATTAGACCAGCCATCGCACTGAAGGTGTAAGTAACTACAAGCATTTAGTTCCTCATTTAACTCAAAACGCATTTCTCTATATATTTTATCTAAGTATTTTGTCGCTAAAGCTTTACGTGAAGGTATTTTAAATTTTGGTTGCAATTTTTCGAAAAATTGTATCCATAAAGGATGTTGCACCATCGATAATGGCGTCCCTGTTACAAATATAGCTCTCGCTAATTCTGTTTTTATATGATCATCGGTGTCTTGAAACTCAGCATTTATTGTAGTGTTAGCAGACGACGAGGGGCTTATAAAAGAATCATTTGTCTCTATCTCTGACAGTCCAGACATTTTGGTTTTGGACGAGCTATCTTTTATAAGTTTCATAGAGTCTTTTAATGTTTCTGGAGATTTTGGACAAGTGATAAGATGTTGAAGCATTTTGGCAGCATTACTGAATTTGTAGACCTTATTACAAAGCTTGCAAGAAACAGACTTGTTTGGTAAAGTACGGTAGTGCTCCCATATGCGTAAATCTTTAGGTCTCCCCATTGAACCTAAAAAAATGAACGATGATTAGTTGGTCTGACGAAAATTCAACAATAGAGTGCCTATTTTTTTACAATGATTATTTCTTGTTATTTACAATAAATTTATTAAAAAAATAATAAAATAAATACAAAAAACCTTTGTAAAATTACATCTCCTCGGAGGATTAAACGCAGACGCTAGTTTATTATCGTATTGTTCTGTATTTTTCTCAGCAACTTCTTTAATTCGATTAGGTACTTACGCATATTATGTTAAAAATAAATATCTAGTACACATCTTAGGCTATCCACCATTATTATCCAATGACGACTCTCAGCTAACTATGCACTATCATCCAAAATAAACGTGTATGGAAAATTTTATCCCAGTCGGTTGAGGATTGAGGATAATTGCATCAACATACGAACATACCTACATACTTTTATTTACATAACGCAAGCTAAATAAAAGCTTGTAATAATACATCTAATTTTAAGTTAAAATTGTTAAGTGATCATGATATAATTGTATCATTCAAAAATCCACTTACCTTTAATTATTTCTTGTTAAGTATAAATATTATTTCAAATCTGCTCCCTTAATATGCACTTTTTTACTGCTTTTCCTACCTAACACGTTACCAGGAAGTCACGTTACCAGAGTCAGAGTAATAGTGAACACGTTTGACAGTGATTGTCGTCGCCTCATATTCAGCGTCGACGAATAGGGGAATCCCCAGTCATAATGTATTGCATGCGTGGCGGTCTTACTTCAAATCCATAAACAAAGAGATAATTACAGAACTCGATACTAGATGGCGCTGTTTTTGTTTGAAGAAAGTTTGCGGGCTAAAATACATAGAATTTCATCAATGACTTCCACAAAGAACAACATTTCTGTTTTTTCTAAGTCCGTATCTCTTCCGTATATTTCATAAGATATAAGCTTGGGCTACATTGTTATGCAACGTGATTTTGTCGCTGTCTTGCTAGCAGGGTTGACAGATATACGATTTAAATCGTACTCATACTATTATTTGTCTATTTTTTAATGTACGATCGTAAAGATTATGATCGTAATTCGCACAAAAACATACGACTTTTTGGTTACCTGGCAACATTTTTATTATGAAACGAACATGCTCACATCATCAGTCACATGCAACAATTTATTGGGGATTTCCCCTTCACATCTGGCAGTCCTGCTTGCTAGAATATAGGTAAGTCAGCCACAGTTACTGACGATCGATATTTAAAGGGTATTGTTTTTGTGCTAAATATTTCATAAAAACGTTATTTAATACTTTGTGGATTATTAATTTAGTTGATAATCACTGGAAGTAAAATGGATGCTAATTTGAGAGATCAAGATCTTCGTATAAAACAGTTAATAAAAGAAAATCTACGTAAGTACTCTTTTTATACCTAGGTAGGTAAGGTATAATAAACACAAAAGGTACTTAGATCGCGTGTGTTCGAAGCATTTATTCTAATAAATTTAATTTAAAATTGTAGAAAGAAAAAAATGTCTGCCAAGCCGTAGCCGAAGCCGATCTCCAAATATATTTGGCGATAGTGAGACCCAGTGTCCAGATGATTTACCCAGCGTCGTCGCAACAAAGAAAAAAACGAGGATAAAGTAAAAGAAAATTTACTGAAAGAAGAAACAAACTGTTCTAAATGCTTAATTTATGGAGAAGAGGATAAAAGAAATGAGTATTTCGGACTGTTAGTGGCTCAAGAATTTAAATATATACGGCCATGTGTGCGAACGAGGTGTTATGAAGAAATTTTAAAGTATCTACGGGAAGCAAAAGGCCAACATGTTGATCAACTGCAACATGAAAACACTGAAAATTAATTACTTTCATTTTATTATATATAGATTTTTAAAATTTCCTGAAATATTATTAGTTAACGTTTTATTTAATATTGTAGAATTGATCAATACAATTTATAAAAATAATTTATTGGTATTACTTACATATTTTCAAAAAAATACGTAAAAACCTATTTTTTTGGGTGATTATGGGAGTTTATGGGTGTTTATTGGGTTTTTACCAAAGCACCGGGTTTAAACCCGGTGCTTTGCCCATCTGTAGTAACCGGAGAGTGCGTATGAATAGATTTATGAATGTTTGAATTGGAGCATTTGGTGTTTTGTCCATCGTATTGTTTCGCATAAACCATCTAGGTGAAGTCACATGGTAGCGAATGTCTTTTGTTTATGAACCCATTATTTGTTTATGAATCCAATATTATGAAATCCATCTTCTTTATTGTACTTTGTGTTAAATTATGAGAGGGAGACTTTGTACAAACGTCGTTTGCTTGGGTACCTCTGTCCTATTCTTGTTTCTAGCGTGAAGTAGTTGTGTTCGCATGGTTGTGTTTCGGTTTGAAGGGTGGGATATGGCGTGAAATTACAGGGTACAGAAGAATAACACCTGAGTCCTCAGGAATGGCAACCTATGGAAGATATCATAGGCGAAACGGTATACTCTGTTATTGGTAACCGCAGTTAGGCTTTGAAGATGTTTTAAGAGGGGCATTGCTGCCCATCCCTCGCCCTCCCTTAGTCGCCTCTTATGACACCCACGGGAAAGTAAGCGGTGGCCTATTCTATACCGGGACCACACGTGATTTCTCCCACTTACCGAGAAATAATAATAGTACATACGGTTTATCTATTTACGTACAAAAGTATAATTCTGTGTTTGACCTATTTTCAACGAAACGTCTCAATACAAATTGAGACATTATCAAGTGGTAAATGTAAGATTCTACCGTTATGGGGTACCAGGTGGTTAATGCACAGACATTAGACGTTGTATGTTTACATTTCCACTCATAATAAACTTCGCTTGGCAACTCTTAACCAATTTTATTGTAAACACCAGTTATTTTGAGTTTATGAGGCAACCTGACAAAAGGTTTAATTTTAAACGTTTACCTCTTTGATTGGCATGTGAGGGGCTTCAAGATAATTACGCGTATGATAGAAGTTGGCATCAGCAATTAGCCCATTGCTTCCTCTTTACGTTTCTTGTATTAGTAATATAGGTGTTTTCTATATTTCGCCAAAAAGTACAGTCATGCGCTACTTGTTATGCCATAGATTTCCAGTGTGCAGTGTCCAGTGTCTAATGTCTAGTGTCAAGTGTCTAGTGTCTGAGTGACTAGTGTCTAGTGTCTAGTGTCTAGTGTCTAGTGTCTGAGTGTCTGAGTGTCTGAGTGTCTAGTGTCTGAATGTCTAGTGTCTGAGTGTCTAGGTGTCTGAGTGTCTAGTGTCTGAATGTCTAGTGTCTGAGTGTCTAGGTGTCTGAGTGTCTAGTGTCTGAGTGTCTAGGTGTCTGACTGTCTAGTGTCTGAGTGTCTAGTGTCGAGTGCCATAGATTTCCTATTAGGAATGAGTAATATATAGAACATGTTAAAAGTCTGTTATCCAAAAAATTATATTGGATAACAGACTTTTAACATATTCTAAAGTAGATACGAGTAGTACGTAATAAAGTGCCAGAGGGAGACTGTACAAGAGTCGACTGCTTGAGCACGTCTGTCCCATTCGTGTTTATACCGTGAAGCAGTTGTGTTTGCATGACTGTGTTTCGGTTTGAAGGGTGGGATATGGCAGTGAATTTACAGGGTACAGAGGAATAACACTTGAGTCTTTAGGAATGGCAACGCATGAGGGGTATCATGGGCGAAACAGTATACTCTGTTATGTCCATGGCACTGCTCATGTGTATAGGCGACGGTTATCACTTTCCATCAGGTGTGCAGTAAGCTTGTTTGCTATTCTAAGTTGTGTAACCAATATGGGCGACATTGAAATGGGTGATGATTTTCCGCCATCAATGTGCTAAGGAATCCAATACATAGATATGGAGTTGATATTTACATTACCTATGCTTATTTCCTATGTCGTTCCATCTAGCCCGCACTATATACCCAGTAAAATCTAATTATAGATACAGTGAAAAACAATATACGATTTCCCTTCCTCCTAGAATTTTTTTTACTTGTTACCGATGGATGTACTTCCGTTTTGTATAAGCTGGATCTGGAGCTTATAATGAGCATTTAAAACCTGATAGTTTAAACAGATTAAATTAAATTGCCCTGCAAATTGGTATTTTTTTATGGATGATAATGGTATGGTTACCCCGCCTGCGCTAATAGTATACGTTGGCGGAACACCATTGAGAGATGATAGGTGAGGATAGAAAAGTATGTCAGTTAGCCCATCGTGATGAATACACCTGGAATTCAGCGCGATAGTTTCCAGAGAAGACCACGTGAAGGTCGACCTGATAGGATAATCTATTGCTAGCAATGGAACTGGTAGTCCACATTACTGACAATCCCATCTCCTCCCTGCAAATTGGTACTAGAAGCATACATAAAATTGGTCTGTTTGTAGTTACGTGACCTAAACCTTTTAAGTTTTGAAAGTTTGAAATTAACTCACAGATTTAAATGTCACTTTAGTACTTCTGTAGATATCATAGCAGTCTTTTTTGTTTAATAACTGAAACTGGAATGGTAACCCCGCCTGCACTATTGGATTACGTTGGCGAAGTGCCAGTGAGGGATAGTAGGTGAGAATAAAGTCAGGTTAGTTAGCCTATTGTGACGAATTAACCAGGAATCAAACATGATCCCCCATGGGACCTTGTGGAGATTAGTCTGATAGGGTACATTGCAATTATTTTATAGTATTTTTATAGTATTATAAATATATATGCCCCGTGTAGGTGCAAACTGAAAATCAGCGCTGAACGCACATCAATCCAGCAAAAGCTAAATTTGTACCTATTGCCAGACATACGGGCACTTAACAATGTATTCATTTATTAATATATGTATTACTAACACTACAATAAATAAATAAATAAATAATTATATTCGTAAAAATGGCAATAAATAAACCTCTATTCGGTGCGCTCAAACTCTCGCTAGCTTCAAAACCTCTGTTAAAGCCCATTATCTCTCCCTTTAAGTAAGTAACTATTTCCACATGCTCTGTCTTCATCTTCCAGAGTCACTCTCTCCTGTTGTATGTGTACTTTTAAGTTTGTGTATGTTTATGTATGTGTTTGTTTATATATAATAGTGCGCCACCTACCATTTGTTTTTCTTTCTTTTCTCAATGTCCTCTACCCAAAGGTTGTCTGGAAGAGATTGCTTAGCGATAAGACCCCCTTTAGTATTATTTCTTATTACAGTTAAATGTATTTACTATTTTATAAATGGTGCAATAAAGTGTAAATAAATAAATAAAATATTATAATAGTCCTAGAATCAACTTATTTCTTCTGTAGATCTTATAGTGCATAATACTGTCCCAAGTGTATAAACTCTGTTTTATGTACTCATTCTATATATTTTGATGTAACGAGACGTAATTGAGGTTGACGAACTGCATAATTTCATTACAATCATCACAAAAAAACACTTTAATGATCGCGTTCCCAACAATACAAACGATAATCATGTAAATGTCCGTCCACATTAATTTATTTGCTAAAAATTGTATGTAGGTATTTTCGTAAATCTATTTCAGTTCAAAGGAATTCATACAGACATACCTACGTCATAATAGTAATAGACAATGTTTGTCGTGATGGATTTATTGTTAGGTTACCCTTGTTTTTTTAATCTACAAATCTACCTCATCTACGTTGATTTTTGGCGGGAAAATTTAAAGTGTTATGACGATGTAACTATTTTTTTTAAATAGGGCAATGAAATGAAATTTTAACCTGCCTGCATTATTGGTATCCACTAGTCGGGCACCAGGAAGTTAATTTAGGGCGAAGGGGGGGGGGGGATCTAATTATTTTTTTATTTACTCTTTACGTTTCGGTTTGAAGGGTGGGATATGGCGTGAATTTACTGGGTACAGAGGAATAACACCTGAGTCCTCAAGAATGGCAACGCATGGGGGTATCATGGGCGAAACAGTATACTCTGTTATGTCCATGGTACTGCTCATGTCTATAGGCGACGGTTACCACTTTCCATCAGGTGGGCCGTCAGCTTGTTTGCCATTCTAAGTTCTATAAAAAAAAAAAAAAAAAAACTTATTTTACACTTTATTGTACCAAGTAAAAATAAAAATAACAAATACAGTAAATATTAATGAGAAATGATACAAAATAAGTAAGTCTTCGTTAAATTTGTATTTTTTTTTTATTGCACAATAAAACTTTGTATAAGTCGCGAGCCTAATGCCATATGGCACCTAGTATTAGTATGGCATCTATTAATATTGGCAATACAATGGCAAATAACTGCTCTTATCCTAAAATAAACAAACATATGAAACGAATGTTTTCACCTATAAATTTTAGTTTACATATTGAATTTAGATTTAGTACACTAACTAGATGCATAATCCCAATTCCTAAATAATAAAATAAATAGCCCGTCTGTTTATTAGGGGTAGACATTCGCATATAAACATAGAAACACATTAGTGGGTCGTGTTAAGTGTTAACGACCTAATTATAACATACTAAATACCGGGCACGATAAAGTTTTTTATACATTTATACATCTAGTTGTTTACAAATTTATATACAAAAAAAAAGAACCCACAGCTTTACATACAGCTATATTAACACAGATTAGAAGGTTATCGCTTCTTTAAAAAAGTTGTTTAAAAAAAATAAAAAAAATTATAGCATTATGTGTTTGCTTGCTGAGTTGTGATATTATTAGCACAGATAATACAAAACTATACTCAGTACTTATTAGGATGATTAGATCTACTAGATGCGTAGCGTATTGTAATTGGTGGTTTGTATTCACACAATTAAACTTAAAAATGTAAAGTAATAATAAAATTATTTAAAAGAGCAACACGCAAGTTTCTTGCTCGTTCTTCTTGTGATGAGACAGCTTTCCGAACGAGCGGTAGATTAAAAAAAAATGTAATGACTTTTCAAAAGTGCTTCAATGTAAGTTTATTTGAATAAATGATTTCTATTCTATTCTATTCTATTGTGTCAGCGAACGAAGCGTTTGGCGTAAACGATGGCTCCAAATTAAATTCTCGTGATTCTCAAAAACAAAGATTGTATACCATTTTTTTGTTCACAAAAGACGATTGAAAGTATGAAAGACAACACTGCAAAGGGAAGTGAACTCAAAAAAACGTTGAAACACGAATGGTACAGAGGTACCCAAGCAATCGACTTTTGTACAAAGGCTCCCTCTGGTCTTAAATAAGTCTTAAATACGATTTAAAAATGTTACCCTTCTAACGACACCTTCCTGGTCTACCAAGATTGGTGTGTAAACAAAATCTAAATTGATGCTAATAATAGCAAATAGAGAATGTTACGATTCATTTGACACAGTTTCGCAATAAAATTACATTCTCAAAACAGAATGGTTTTCAGTAGACAACAAAAATATCTCATTTCACAAACAACAACTCGAACACGCCTAATTTTTTAAACTCAGCAATATTTGTTTGAATTTATTGTTTGCCTTTTGGTTTACGAAGTAGTTCATGTAGTTTTTTTTTTTTAATGAGTGAAAATGGAATGGTAACTCCATGGTATCGGTATACGCTAGCGAGGCACCAATGATAGGTAATAGTTGAAAATAAGAATTAGACAAGATTAACCACAATGGTTTCCATGTGGAGCCGCGTGGAGGTCGACCTGATAGGGTATATTGCTAGCAATGAGGCTGTGAGGCTGAGAATCCATTACTAACAATGGCTGTGTTTCGGTTTGAAGGGTGGGATATGGCGTGAATTTACAGGGTACAGAGGAATAACACCTGAGTCCTCAGGAATGGCAACGCATGGGGGGGTATCATGGGCGGAACAGTATACTCTGTTACGTACATGGTACTGCTCATGTCTATAGGCGACGGTTACCACTTTCCATCAGGTGGGCCGTCAGCTTGTTTGCCATTCTAAGTTGTATAGCAAAAAAAAAAAAGTTACTTTTTAAATTAAAATAATTAATTTTGCGACGATTAAAGTCGTTTCTTTTTAGTGAACACAACTTTAAATTGTTGAATCAAATATTTTTGTTCTTATCGATTTATTTTTCTTCTGTGAGAATGTTTAACGATGTTTGCTATTGATCTCAGTTTCAATATGTCTATAGAGGGGGCGAAAGGGATTGTTAGTAATAGAGACTGAGAATCCCATTGCTAGCAATATACCCAACCAGGTCGACCTCCTCGCGGTTCCCCCTGGAAACTATCATGGTTAATTTCTGATGAATTCATCATGATGTGCTAACTGACTTGTTTTCATTCTCATCTATCACCCTTCACTGGTGCTCCGCCAGCGTATTCCGTTAGCGCAGGCGGGGTTACCATACCATTTTCACCGATCAAAAAATATGTCTATAGATAGATTAGATATATTAAATCAATGTATCTAAATAAATAGAGCTCCACGGCTAAACAATTGTCCATCTAAAAACGTCAAATATCCATCAGTAAACTAATGTGGGACACAAAATAAATATTTGGGACAGATGTAAAGATATTCCGGTCGGTCGGTCGGTCCAGGTGAACGCCTACGGTATACAGAAATAATTACAAACACTAGGCACTTAACTAAACGATGTAACTACATTTCGTGTGCATTGGAGATGGGTAATTTTTTTTTTATATATAAAATAAAATCCTAGATCTATTCTCTAACCCACACGGACGAAAGGTATTGTATTGTATTGTAAAATCTTTATTGTACATAATTCATACTGAACATATTAAAAGATTTAATATACAATGGCGGACTTATCCCATAAAGGAATCTCTTACAGTCAACCTTTGAGAAGCTGAAAGACAACTGTAGAATGTACGAAGGTAAAAACCTGTACAGCTAAAGACAAACTAAATAATACCCAAAGGTATTACTATTAATGGAGTGTAACTAACCCATTGCAAGCAACACACCTTATCAGGTCGACCTCCACGCGGTCCCCCCTGGAAACCAAATGACCTGCTTTCATCGTGACCTATCATCCTTCTCTCGTGCTCTGACAGAGTATACACTTCCATTACCATCTTACCATTTACCATCTCATTATTACACATTAAAAAAAAATAAACAGAGGATTAAATCATAGCCTCTCTGTCTAAACGAGCTATGAAAATGGAATGGTAACCGGGCCCGCTTTCGTAATTCGTATACAAGTACGTTGTTGGGATGGCGAAGCGCTTATGAAGGACGATAAGTGATGATGAAGTCAGTTGGCATAGCTTTATAGGTAATTTTAAGCATAAAATTGGCCACTCCTTTTCCTCTGGGTGTCGTAAGAGGCGACTAAGGGAGGGCGAGGGATGGGCAGCAGCGTCCTTTTTAAAACATCTCTAAAAGTCTAACTGCAATTGCCGACCCGCCTGCCAAGCGTGGCAACTACTGGCTAAACTCCCCTTATGGGGAAAGCTTATATCTAACATTTGACAGCTAACGACTGTAATGATAATAAAATTTAAAAGGACTGATTTTTCGTATCTTGGATTAGGTTAGATTTTGGATACATAGACTTTGTACAAAAGTCGTTTGCTTGGGTACCTCTGTCCCATTCGTGTTTCAACCGTGAAGCAGCTGTGTTTGCATGGCTGTGTTTCGGTTTGAAGGGTGGGATATGGTGTGAATTTACTGGGTACAGAGGAATAACACCTGAGTCCTCAGGAATAGCAGCGCATGGGGGGGATCATGGGCGAAACAGTATACTCTGTTATGTCCATGGTACTGCTCATGTCTATAGGCGACGTTTACCAATTTCCTTTAGATGGGCCGTCAGCTTGTTTGCCATTCTAAGTTGTATAAAAATTAAAAAAAAAAATTCAAAAATGATATTGACATCGTTAAAATGTATGAGATTTTTTTTTAATATAGAATTTACGAAAATTTCTATGTAGTCTATGTTATTCACTGATAATATAGCTTTTTACATACATACATACATATGTGTGACGCCTGTCTCCCATCAGAGTAGGCAGAAACAATGGAACGCCAAATGCTTCGATTCAAACAAACCTCTTCTCGCTTCTTCCACATTCAGCAATCTTTTCATACACGCTCGCCGGTTACAGGTACTTTTATTTTGGCCCTTCTTCAGCACGTCGCCTATTTGGTCGACATACCTCCGTCTAGGGCGGCCCCTACCGACATCTCCATTCATTCTTGCTCGATAAATCTCTTTCGTAATTCTTCTCTCATCCATCCTCTCCAAATGACCAAACCAACGCAACATTCCTTTTTCGATTTTTGTCACTACATCGTCCTTCAGTCCACAGTATAGCTTTTTATATTTTATAAATTACTTATTATTATTATTGTTCCCTTCCTCTCCTGATATCCGAGTACTGGGTATAAGAATTCGCAAAATACTTTGGTCTAATTGTGTTTTTTTTCTTTTTGTTACAGGCCATAGAGACAAACCTACTAAACCAGCACTCGATTTTTTTATCTAGTCAAAAACAGAGCAAATGGTAACCACGTGATAACGATTTTACTTTTAAATCACGAATATCGAAATAAATGGCTGTGAGCTAGCGAAGAGACGGAGTTAGCAACGGATATACGGACACGACAGATTGTGGCTGAGAACAAGGCGAGCGAGATGTCGCTGGTGGCTCCGAGGCGGGTCCAGTTGGACTGGACTCACGCCATACCATGGTATGTATATAAAAAAATACATGTCACAACTGTTTGTTACAACAGTTTTCTTTTTTATACAATTAAAATGGCTAACAAGCTGACGGCCCACCTGATAGAAAGTGGTAACCGTCGCCTATAGACATGAGCAGTACCATGGACATAACTGAGTATACTGTTTCGCCCATGATACCCCCCATGCGTTGCCATTCCTGAGCACTCAAGTCTTTTCCTCTGTACCCTGTAAGTTCACTGCCATATCGCACCCTTTAAATCGAAGCACAGCCATGCAAACATAACTGCTTTATGGTTGGAACACGAATGGGACAATGTACCCAAGCAAACGACTTTGGTACGAAGTCTCCCTCTGGTTAATGAAAAACTTAATATGAAGGAAACCATGTTTTGTTCATAATAACATAATAAGATTGTGCACCACAAAAAAAAGACTTCAATTATGACAATATCCCTTATTTTGACTTCAAAACTAAATTACTAGATCGATTTCGATAAAATTTTTAAAGTACAACGCTATTATTTTTATGGGTGAAAATGGAATGGTGATCCCGCCTGCGCTAACGGGATACGCTGGCGGAGCACCAGTGAAGGTAGATAGATGAGAATGAAAACAGGCTAGTTAGCACATTATATGATGAATTCATCAGGAATTAACCATGATAGTTTCCAGGGGAACCGTAAGGAGGTCGACCTGGTTGGGTATATTGCTAGCAATGGGATTCTCAGTCTCCATTACTAACAATCCCTTTCCCTCCCGGACCAAGCTATTTTCAATTCAAATGAAAAAGCAATTTTCAATCAGATAAAAAATAATTTTCTAAATCGCTTTAGAACTGACAGAGTTATGAGGTAAGAAATATAAAAAACACTACAGAATTGAGAACTTATTTATTTATTTATTCATAGGAAAACCAGGGCTACAATAGAGCAACTTCCTTCATTAGCCGACACTGAATAAATAAAATCAATTAAAATGTTTATTAAGGAACCTTAGTTTAATTTAATTTAGTTTAGTTTTTTTTTTAGGATCGATATAATTACATTGGTCACAAAGACTCTGTCGCAGCTATTAACGCCCGCTTCATAACATGTAAATAAATTGTGTCGATAGGAAAAAAATATCAAAATCAGTAAATAATTGGCAACGTAACAACGTGTCGTATGTTTAAAAAAATATAGACGAATATTTTTTTTAATTATTTAAAAATAAATTGCATAATGCAAGGCCTTAATATAAGAAAATTAATAAGGTTACACAAGTGAAGTTGTTGGCTTTTCTTTGATGCAACAATTTAGTTTATCATGCCCGCATTGGTGCCTAAGATAGGTCAAGGATGCCCCACTTAGTGACGGCCTTCATTTCATATCTAGTCTAGGTATTTACGTGCTCATCTGAACTTAATTTTGCTAGAATGTGAATACAAAAAAAATTTATTAGTGTAATCCAAGATATTAAATCTAATAATTAAAGTAAACGTATAAAAAACTTATTAATCGATAATTATAATACTTATATCGGTTCCATATTCGTAATTTTCTCCCGGCTGAAGTCCCTGTTTTTTTTTAAATAGTTTACAATAATGGTCAAAAGACAATTTTTATATGGGGTAGGTATTTAACTATCTTTTGATTTATATTTTAACTTATTTATTATTAAGGCATACATTATATTGAGGGTAAATAGAAGGGCTTACAAGCAGTATCGAACCTTTAAGTCTTTGGAGAGATTTTGCCTTACTCTGCATGTTCTACCACTTGTTCTCAGAGGAATTGTTCAATATGACGCTCACACCCGCTTTCTACCATCGTACTGCTCGCTATCGATGGGCAGTTTACCCTCATACCTTACAGCCCTTATGGTCGCGTACTACGCGGTTTCTGAAATGTTTTCTCCCACGAACACTCAGATTATGGAATGAACTCCCTGCTGAAGTTTTCCCAAGAGACTACAGCATGGGATTCTTCAAAAGGGGGTAAAGAGGTTTCTTCAGGGTCGGCAACGCGCGCGTAATGCTCCTGATATTACAGGCGTTCATAGGCTTCGATAACCGCTTACCATCAGGTAGGCCGTATGCTTGTTAGCTACCTAATGGTATAAAAAAAATTAAACCACAATGGTTTCCAGCAGGAACCGCGTGGAGGTCAACCTAATACGGTATATTGCTGGCGATGGAGCTGTTACACCCCGTTATTAACAATTCCACTCCCTCCTGACAGCTCCATTACCACATACATACCTACAAGTATAACATAAGTATTTGGTAATGATTAGAGATTTTACAAAATATATGAAATATAAAATACTTACGATCTAGGAATACACTAATCATCTATAATTTATTTATTTTTAAACGGTTTTATTTAGCTCGACCTGTACGGTATTTATTTATTTGGGTCAAAATTAGAAATTGGAATTTAAGCACCTTCCCGTTGTCAGATTGATCTGAAATTTGGTACACACATTTAATTTAGATGACAATACAATATAATAAAATCAATAACATTATAAATCTAAGATGGCCGCCGATACAAAATGGCGGATAGTACATGATTACATACTTAACCCCCTAATATGGGTATCAAATGAAAGGGCTGTTACAAAATGGCGTATTACACTAGTAAAACACGATGATTATGTCAAAATTTAAAATTCAAGATGGACGCCGTTCCCATATGGCGGACTAGGTACATATTTTTCCACAACCACCTACAGATGGGCAAAGCACCGGGTTTAAACCCGGTGCTTTGGTAAAAACCCAATAAACACCCATAAACTCCCATAATCACCCAAAAAAATAGGTTTTTACGTATTTTTTTGAAAATATGTAAGTAATACCAATAAATTATTTTTATAAATTGTATTGATCAATTCTACAATATTAAATAAAACGTTAACTAATAATATTTCAGGAAATTTTAAAAATCTATATATAATAAAATGAAAGTAATTAATTTTCAGTGTTTTCATGTTGCAGTTGATCAACATGTTGGCCTTTTGCTTCCCGTAGATACTTTAAAATTTCTTCATAACACCTCGTTCGCACACATGGCCGTATATATTTAAATTCTTGAGCCACTAACAGTCCGAAATACTCATTTCTTTTATCCTCTTCTCCATAAATTAAGCATTTAGAACAGTTTGTTTCTTCTTTCAGTAAATTTTCTTTTACTTTATCCTCGTTTTTTTCTTTGTTGCGACGACGCTGGGTAAATCATCTGGACACTGGGTCTCACTATCGCCAAATATATTTGGAGATCGGCTTCGGCTACGGCTTGGCAGACATTTTTTTCTTTCTACAATTTTAAATTAAATTTATTAGAATAAATGCTTCGAACACACGCGATCTAAGTACCTTTTGTGTTTATTATACCTTACCTACCTAGGTATAAAAAGAGTACTTACGTAGATTTTCTTTTATTAACTGTTTTATACGAAGATCTTGATCTCTCAAATTAGCATCCATTTTACTTCCAGTGATTATCAACTAAATTAATAATCCACAAAGTATTAAATAACGTTTTTATGAAATATTTAGCACAAAAACAATACCCTTTAAATATCGATCGTCAGTAACTGTGGCTGACTTACCTATATTCTAGCAAGCAGGACTGCCAGATGTGAAGGGGAAATCCCCAATAAATTGTTGCATGTGACTGATGATGTGAGCATGTTCGTTTCATAATAAAAATGTTGCCAGGTAACCAAAAAGTCGTATGTTTTTGTGCGAATTACGATCATAATCTTTACGATCGTACATTAAAAAATAGACAAATAATAGTATGAGTACGATTTAAATCGTATATCTGTCAACCCTGCTAGCAAGACAGCGACAAAATCACGTTGCATAACAATGTAGCCCAAGCTTATATCTTATGAAATATACGGAAGAGATACGGACTTAGAAAAAACAGAAATGTTGTTCTTTGTGGAAGTCATTGATGAAATTCTATGTATTTTAGCCCGCAAACTTTCTTCAAACAAAAACAGCGCCATCTAGTATCGAGTTCTGTAATTATCTCTTTGTTTATGGATTTGAAGTAAGACCGCCACGCATGCAATACATTATGACTGGGGATTCCCCTATTCGTCGACGCTGAATATGAGGCGACGACAATCACTGTCAAACGTGTTCACTATTACTCTGACTCTGGTAACGTGACTTCCTGGTAACGTGTTAGGTAGGAAAAGCAGTAAAAAAGTGCATATTAAGGGAGCAGATTTGAAATAATATTTATACTTAACAAGAAATAATTAAATGTAAGTGGATTTTTGAATGATACAATTATATCATGATCACTTAACAATTTTAACTTAAAATTAGATGTATTATTACAAGCTTTTATTTAGCTTGCGTTATGTAAATAAAAGTATGTAGGTATGTTCGTATGTTGATGCAATTATCCTCAATCCTCAACCGACTGGGATAAAATTTTCCATACACGTTTATTTTGGATGATAGTGCATAGTTAGCTGAGAGTCGTCATTGGATAATAATGGTGGATAGCCTAAGATGTGTACTAGATATTTATTTTTAACATAATATGCGTAAGTACCTAATCGAATTAAAGAAGTTGCTGAGAAAAATACAGAACAATACGATAATAAACTAGCGTCTGCGTTTAATCCTCCGAGGAGATGTAATTTTACAAAGGCTTTTTGTATTTATTTTATTATTTTTTTAATAAATTTATTGTAAATAACAAGAAATAATCATTGTAAAAAAATAGGCACTCTATTGTTGAATTTTCGTCAGACCAACTAATCATCGTTCATTTTTTTAGGTTCAATGGGGAGACCTAAAGATTTACGCATATGGGAGCACTACCGTACTTTACCAAACAAGTCTGTTTCTTGCAAGCTTTGTAATAAGGTCTACAAATTCAGTAATGCTGCCAAAATGCTTCAACATCTTATCACTTGTCCAAAATCTCCAGAAACATTAAAAGACTCTATGAAACTTATAAAAGATAGCTCGTCCAAAACCAAAATGTCTGGACTGCGT